ACTAAAACACAGTCAAGACAAGTTACTTTGCACAGACCAAAGGTCACCTTTATGTCATTTGATATGGCAACATGAGTGCAAGTGTGCCACATCATTGTAACTTCTGTATTGTTAGCTAGGCACAGATGAAAGGTCAATATAATGAAAATAATAAATATATATAAATGGATAATGTTATGAGGTTTAAGCTATTTCATCCAAACATTTATGTCTTCGTGTTATAATTTGTGTTCATTCTGGAATGAAAAAGGTATAATTTGTTTATTTTCTAATTTTTTATGGTGGTTGCAAGATCAGTGAAATTTACCAAATCCGTAAGATATTAATTACTGAAAATAACAGATAAAATATAAAGTTTTTTTAAGAAATGTTTGATAACTATCCGGACATTATAAAGATTTCACATGTGAAATTTCAGAATTTTCTCATGCATAAAAATATTTTTAATCTTAAAACGAAAATTACTTTGTATGATAGATAGGCAAGATGTGAAAAGAAAAAAAAAAAGGCATGAGACAAACATTGCTTAAGACTTAATAAAAAATTAGATATTTTGCTTATGAAACCATTGTAATGTTTACTGATAAACTGCCAAAAGTTATAGCATGAAAACTATAACAAGCACAAAATGGTTACAAGGTTGGTCTCAGGGACTGAGCCTGGGTTGAAAGAGTTATATGAATCGCCATACTCAATTTTAGTAATGATTTATATCCTTTAAAAATCAAAATGTCCAAAAAAAGGTTTAAATTATTTTAGTTTTTTTTACTTTACTAAACACAATACAAGACAGAACTCAGTAAAAATGATATTGGTAATACTGTAATTCTGGTAACCATACTTCATCACACTTGTACATAACACTATTTAAAGTATTTAAACTTGTTTACATGAGGAAACAGATTTCTAACAATTGCAAACTAAACACAACAAATCTATAGCAAGCACAGAATAATAAAATCTGAATAAAATTAATTACTGGGTTAATTTTCAGTTCTGAATTATGCAGGTAGCTTCCTTTCATTAGAAGTTAATGAGAAATATGAAGATTTTATCTATAATTTATGTCAAAAAAGGATTTCTAATAACATTAGAAGGTAACAGAAAACTAAACATATTCATATTATTTAGTCTAATACACTGATCCAAGGAAGTTTGGGGGAGAGAATTACATCACACGTTAAGGAAAAGCATATAACAATGGAAACAGATTCCAAACATAAGAATGCTGCACTAAGTGTAGTACTAACAAAAGATGAATGAAGAAAATCAAAGCATGTGTAAAAAGTATGTAAACTTATTTAAAATTATATATTTTACCAAATAGAAAACAGGCTATGTTGATCGAAGCTTGGAAATTAACTTCAAGTAATTTTCTTTTACTGGACTGATATATATATATTTTTAATTTCAAAAGACTGATAAATCACTGAGCAAATATTTTTAAGCTCTGTCACAAAACTAACTTCTTACTTTTCTGGTGTACAGATGACTCATTTCACAATAGATAAAAAGATTGGACTGTGCAATAACTAGTACCTTCAAAGCTACCTTTGGGACCTTTTGCAGGTTCTTTTCATTAATGTTACACATCTTGATGTGCTCAAGTCAGTTTGTTTGAAGTTACAGTATACCAATAAATAATGAAAGTCTATATGTTAAAAGCACTTTTTCAGTATAAATGGCACTTGTAGTTCATCAGTATTGCATAGTTATCCACTTATCTTGTTAGAGGTGTACACTGTAATGTTAATACATATTAGGTTACACATCCCATATGATGACCAGGTGAGATCTGAACTTTTAAATAACATTTGCTCTCATTTAATCAACTTAATTGATGATAATGTATCCCAACGGCATTTTGTCCTTCTTGGGTTATGGATTTTGGATAATCTTAGTAGGAAATAAAAAACTAGTAATCTTAGATTGATATCTGAACTATAGTTCTATTCATAATCACAGTACCAGTGAAGATATAGAAACAGTGAATACTAGATAGATTACATGGTGTCATAAAAGAAATCAAAACTTAAATATGATGGAAGCAAGAAGGATTCCATCATTAGTAATCTATAGAAAAAACAAACAGAATTAAGTAATATATATATATATATACAGAGCTAAATATAAATAACAAAATCAATTTAGAATAATTTTAGGTCTTAAGATTGTGTGTGATTGAGAGAGGGAGGGAATTTTTTTATTGGCAAGGTTTCCTTTATCAGAAGTTCAATTTCAGATTTTGCAGTAATAAGAACTGATCAAATGATGTGTATGTTAATTTTGCTGACGTACTGTTTTGACCAATACTCCCATGTGATTGTGCACTTGTATTTATCAACATAAGAAGTCTTACAGTCTCTGCATGTATATAAAAACAAGTATTAGATAACATGCATTTTTATTCAAGACCATTCATACAACTGAGAGTCCACTTTAAGAGCATGTTAATCAGGGCATTTTCAGAATGTGGAGAATAAATTTTGTTTCTTCGAATAATAACTGAATTTGTTGCCTTAGGCTTAATTAGATTTTTCATAAGTAACTGATCATGACTGGAATGTTACTTCAGAAATTTTATTTATTACACCATGGCTTAGCCCTTCTGTCATAACTTCATATAATTTTTTAATTTCTTTCCTTTGTAAAGTATACTAGTGGTTACAGCACTTCAAGAGATAAGTTTTACTTATTACACCAGTGGCCTGGCCTTCTGTTGTAACTTGTTTCAATTTCTTTCATTTGTAAAGGATACTAGTGGTTACAGCACTTCAGGAGATAAGTTTTACTTATTACACCAGTGGCCTGGCCTTCTGTTGTAACTTGTTTTAATTTCTTTAACTTCTTCCCTTGTTAAATACACTAATGGTTAAAGTACTTCAGGAGATAAGTTTTACTTATTGTTTGTTTGTTTTTGAATTTCGCGCAAAGCTACACGGGCGCTATCTGTGCTAGCCATCCCTAATTTAGCTGTGTAAGACTAGAGGGAACGCAGCTACTCATCACCACCCACTGCCAACTCTTGGGCTACTCTTTTACCAAGGAATAGTGGGATTGACCATCACATTATAATGCTCCCATGGCTGAAAGGGTGAGCATGTTTGATGTGATGGGGATTCAAACCCACGACCCTCAGATTGTGACTCAAGTGCCCTAACCACCTGGCCATGCTGGGCCAGTTTTACTTATTACACCAGTGGCCTGGCCTTCTGTTGTAACTTGTTTTATTTCTTTAACTTCCTCCCTTTGTAAAGTACACTAGTGGTTAAAGCACTTCAGGAAATGAGTTTTTACTTATTTCACCAGTGTCGTGGCCCTTTTATTGTAATTTGTTTTTGTTTTAATTTCTTTCCTTGCTTTTTTGTTTTATTAGAAGCATCTAAATTCTTAATACTGGTGCAGATGTTGAAAAATAGTTCTGAACATAAGATGTTGTGGGCATGAGAACCCATATCAGCTCCCAATTTTTAAAATTACACATTTTAAATTTAGCTTTATCTCGATTGCAAGGCTTGTAAATAAAGGTTAAGTATTCCCATTGTTGTGTGGGTTCCTTTGCACTCTCTTCCAGTACATTTTAATTTGCTCATTCTTTGTGTGTGATGCTTTTTTTTCTGGTTGTCTACTGCATGAAAATTTTAACATATGGAAAATGGAATGATAGCTAGATAAGTAAATAAAAGAGTGTAAATTTACTTGTTTGAAGGATAATATAAACAAACAGCAAGTTCAGCCTTCAACTGGAGAAACTAAAAGACCTTACCATTTTATAATCTTCAGCCTAGCAACAATGAAGGTTGTCTAGTTTCTGTGTAACCAAAAAAATATATACTTAGGATGCAATGTGTGTCTGTCAGGCCACCTTCTATGAAGCCCAAAGTTGGACAGGAAATAGATGTGTCTTGTGCCCACAGAGTGATAGTGGTCAAACGCAACATACATTACTAAGGAAATACCATCAGGTGATTATGTACCTAGTGTGAGAAAACATCATCCATCCCCACAGTATCTATGCTTACTGTAGTTGCTAACAGGAATTGAAGAATTGGCCCAATAAGTGCATGAACCTCCAGTGAAGAAAGGATTCCTAAGTTAAATGAACCAAGCGTACAAATCTCGTCCAGCAGAAATTCAGCAAAATTTGATAAAGCTACACAGGTTCAAGGCTTGAAAAAAATTGATTGATTTTTTATTTTTTTATGGATGGTGGATCAAGTAGAATTTTTTTAAATACTAGACTAATAACATTCTAAGTAGGTATTCTTCTTAGATTTGTCTAGACCAGAAGAGTTTGGCTCAATGTATTAGACCTTCAAGCTAGACACGAGTTAAAACAACTGAACAGGCATGGTTCTAAATTTGCAAACAACTTGTCTTTGTCAGCAAGCAGGTTATGCGAAGAGTCTGTCATAGTAAGAGATGCTGATAAACTGAGGGACCAGTGATTAACACTGCTTTTGTACACATACTTGCTAGATTCACCCTGTGTAACAATGTTAGAGGCAGTTGGTCTTTCTGACGACTTTTTCAACAGATGCAATATAATGTCAAGTGAGGTTAGTTAAGGAACTAACAGATTTTTAGGTTAACCTTCCCTTAAAAAATTAAATGTTAGGTTAGTTTTGAACTTCTGTGACCTGTGGTGAAGATCACAACTTGTTAAATTTGATGTTCTCAAATTAAGGTTTTATTTGTTTTCATGAGTGTTAGAGAGGAATCTGGAGGTAAAGTTTTGAACTTATTAATTTTGATGTACCCAAATTAAGGCTCATGAAAACAAATAAAATTGTTAGAGAAGAATCTGGAGGTAAAGTTCTGAACTTATTAATTTTGATGTACCCAAATTAAGGTTTTATTTGTCTTCATGAATGTTAGAGAGGAATCTGGAGGTAAAGTTCTGAACTTATTAATTTTGATGTACCCAAATTAAGGTTTTATTTGTCTTTATGAATGTTAGAGAGGAATTTGGAGGTAAATATTAGAACTTGTTCACTCTTTCACAATGGGAGCCCCCTTTAAATGCTTTTCTGTGCAAATCAGTGTTACATTCAAAATGTAAACACCTTTACTATCAATGTATGTGAAAGAAATTAATATTATAATGTACATTATGATTCAAAGTTTTATTTATCTAAATTCTAAGCCTTTTATTTGAAAATAAACCTTTAAAAACTACTTAAAACTTCATATGCATTGTCACGTGACCAATGAGCTATGAAAAGTTTCTTCTTTGGCTCTTTGTATCTTCAATAATACAATGGTAGTTAAGTTGAGGTACATCTAGACAATGTGTTGTTTACATAACCTTTTGACTCATTCATTTCAAACAAGTAAATTTTTTCAACCCCTGACAGGTGTCACGCCCACCTTCAACAGATTTATTTGATGCTACATACACATGTGTAAATTCATTTGAGAGAGATCACTTTACACTACAATCTAACAATGGTTAGTTTGAAATTGGCATGCAGTTATCATCATGGATTACATGTAATTGACTCTAGTATTATTGGCTGTTCTTTAATTTTACTATCTTTGTTGTCTATGCAGTATTAATTATATATATTTCTTTTTTTGAGAAAAAATAAAGGTTTTCAAGGAGGAGGTAAGAAAAAAGTCCGTGAGGAGTGGAGAATAGGAAAGAGAGAGTCCTATCCACACATGAAGCACTCAAGTATTTACAGTGAATGCGTGTAGGAAATGCAACTCACACCTCAAACCTGGAAAGGAGGTAGGAGGAGTGCATGACACAGGAATGGGCTCTAAAAGGGTTGGGAATGTTGAAAAACAAGGAGGAAAATCGATGAGAAGGTACTACTTTGGACTCCAATGAGGTAAGAAAACTCCCAAAAATTGACAGTTGCAAAATATAGCGCTAAACAAAGGACAAGGAAGAATTAGATGAAGGAGATGCACTAGAGTAAGCAGTGCATACCACCAAGAAGATCTCACCAACAGAGGTGCCAGATATATAGGTAGAAAGAGGTAGAAAGGGAGGGTACGAGTCTCTCCCAAAAAACATACAGAGGTTTGGTGGATAGACACAGTGAGAAGAGATGTGGAGGAAAAGGTAAGAAAGAAAGTGGGGAAGGGGCAGATGCAAATGGGAAAACTAGGCCTAGGAAAAGTACATTAGAATTTCAGGCTGTGATCCCCACACCTGAATGAAAGACTTGAAGATTTGAGTGTAAAATTGCAGAGCCCAGAATGTAATTGGGTTATGAACTAAACAACATGGACCATGATATCCATATGGGAAGGGCAAACTAACATAGACAAAAGATATCATACCTAGGAAATTATGCCAAGGAATGGTCAATGAAAAATGTGGGAACATTCATAGGCATAGCTCTTGACTGCATGGCAAAGAAAGGAGGTGGTAAAAGTTTGTCCAAAACTTCATTATACAAACCTGACACATCAGGGAGTGGTATATCTGGTCCTGGTACAAGAGCTATATCAGGCCACATGATAAATTCTAATTCGCGGCAAAAAAAAGCCGAAACCACCTCATTTTAATGCCAGAGCCCGAATCCAAAGAAGAGACAAGTGTTACAAAATAATAAGTAGTTGCAATATTATTTTGAGAATTCAAATAAAAGAAACATGAGTGGATAAAACAAATTCAATCCACAAATTCTCATGGAATAATGCAGAATGTAAAAACAACTAAGTTATTTGGTGAACAAATTAGGTGAAATATAAAAAAATTGAAGTAAAAATGAGGGAAACTAAAACACGTCTGCACTCAAACATACCAAATCGATAAGTGAAGATTTGATTCTATAGTATAGGGGAAGTCAGCTGCACTAGAAGGGTGTGTCGCACTCCTACTGGTGGAGGGTTATTGCATGCTACAATGCAGCTGTAACACGTGGATGTAGGTGAGAGCCCAAGCCTAGTGATGAAAATTTGCACATATAGAGGGCAACAGTTGTCAAAAAGCTATTATGTGAGAGGAGGTAAGTTATTGTATCAGAAATTATATTAGTTGCACTACTAGCAAAAGAGCATTGTCTCAATAGCTTGAGTGACTTATCCACCAATACCTTAATCCATTTTTTCTGTAAAGTTATTGAGTTAATTTTCTATAGAATACATACTAATAAAAAAACCTGTTAATATACCTGAAGAGGTAAATCAAATTCTCTTTTTAGCTCTAGAAGTAGAATCAATTCTGGCCTTTGAAGAGCAAGCTCCCTTATTTCTGAAAGATACTTTTCAGGTTCCTCAATAAATTCTTGACCTGCTTCAGAAGTATAAAAATTGTAGCAATATCCTTGATACAGGACAATCCCTAGTTGTCGTTTCCCATGAAGAAGAATACCTTTACTTTTGACTAATGTCCATGGACAAAATCCCTAATAATGAAAACAATATAAATCATGATGTTAGAAAAACATGTAGGTTCAAGAAGTCTTGATACAAGATAATAAAAACCCTATAACCTGAGTGCTTTTGAAAGGTGGACCTTTCTTCTTCAGTTTGCCCCTGAAGAAAAAAATATAAGTTAAATACTGACCTGCTTGAGAACAACAATAATTATAACAATATATCTCTGAATGTTGAAACTATATCATTGAGGACAATCTCTAGGTGTTGTAACAATATCATTGAGGATAATCTCTTGGTGTAGTAATAATATCATTGAGGACAATCTCTAGATGTTGTAACAATATCATTGAGGATAATTTCTTGGTGTTGTAACAATATCATTTACAATAATCTCTAGATGTTGTAACAATATCATTGAAGATAATCTCTTGGTGTTGTAACAATATCACTTATAACAATTTCTAGGTGTTGTAACAATACTGTTGAGGTCAATTTCTAGGTTTCATTTCCCAGGAAGTAGATTACATTTATTTTTGCTGAAATTTGCACAAGGCTACTCAAGCGATATCTGCTATATATTTTGAAATGACTAACTAGAAAGAACTTCGCTAGTTAACATCATCTACCGCCAATTTTAGGGTTACTCTTTTGCCAATGATTAGTGGGAATGACTGTCACATTATAGCATGCCCACAGCTGAAAGGGACAGCATGTTTGGTGGTGGGAATTTGAACTGGAGACCCATAGATTACGAATCAAGCACCTTAACCACCAGGCTATGCCAGGCCTGTAGTGCTGTAACAAGTAATATTAATACCATTCACTATCATGGTTTACACTATATCTTATCTTTTTAAGTGTTTAAAAGTAGAACAAATTAAAATTTGATGGAATTTTTGAGTTATTGTCTAAGAAATTTAAATTGTCATTAATAAATCTTTCTTTCTATAGCTTCAATGAATAATTAAAAAGCTTTTGTAATACTTAGGATAAAAACTAAATGAAAATACAATATCAAATGGCAACAATGTAATAAAGCAAATGTGTGTGTGTGTTTTATAGCAAAGCCACATTAGGTTATCTGCTGTGTTCACCAAGGAGAACTGAACACCCGATTTTATCGTTGTAAATCTGTAGACAACTATCCCACTGTGGGGCCATAAAGCAAGTGAAATACAGCAAAAATAACATACAATGTACAATAATATTAGTAAAACTTTGATGTGAAAGCAAACTAAATAATATAAAAATTAACAATAAATATAGCTTGTGTAAATAAAAATGATTAAATGAAAAAAATGCAATTAGTTTTATAGTAATAAAATTTTAACACCTGCCATACGAGCTAGCCCAGCATCTTCAAGCAATGATCCTAGGATGGTCAACAGAGGGGTCATTCTAGAAACCAGTTAGTTAGGGTTATTTCAATATATCTCGATGAATGAAGCTTGGTACAACTTTTAAAATAAAAAATATATATATTAATTAAAATATGGCATGATGAAGTCTATATGAATTATAATATGGTGGTACCATACCAGGCATTATACCATTCTTCTTATATTTACTCTTCATTGAAGAAATGGCATTTTTGATTTGAGAATTGCTAGGGGAATCATCTTGTAATGCATCAAACATCTGCTTCATCACTGTATCTTTGGGCTTTAATGTGTTGTTAGTTTCACAAAATAATGAAAGCTAATATTTTCCTATACTCAAAATAAATTTCCAATAGATACCCCATTTCATGTAATAGTTTTTCATTTAGTGCTGCCCTCTGTACATACAAATGTTTTTGCTCACCACTAGCCTCAAAAGTCCCACCTACCCCACATTTCAATGTGGTTCGGCTGTACTGTAGCATACAAATAAACATATGACAACCCTCCATCAATAAGAGAGTGACATACTCTCCTGTCATAGCTAGCTCCCTCTTTACTGTTGAATCCAATCTTCACTTTGAAGTGAGGCAGAAAAGAAGCACCAGAAGTGGGAAGGAAAGATGGAAAGTGTGGGAAGAGGTAAGTATTTATCTGAAATATATTTTCAGTATAGGAAAATATCAACTTCCAATATGATGTCTTACCCCCAGTCACATAATAGCTAGAATCCCACACTGTCTTGGTGTAGGGACCGGTGCAGAATTTACCTAGATGAGCACCCTTCAGAAATTGTCCGAAGAATGCCTATGCAGTGCGACTTCTCTTGTTAAGAGAACACACTTATGGGAGACTGCACCACATCTGAACCAGGTATACTCTTCACCCATTATGAATGTTTGCATTGCTAAATTGGGTGGAAAAGAGGAGCACATCCATGACTGTAGATATGTTGGCTGATCTAGCTCCTTTCGAAAACGAGATCTCCCAGGAACCAACCTGTAGGAGATGGTAGGATGGGGATTCCCAGTCAATTAGTTTAATATATAATCGATTGTGCCCCACACTGTATAATGGCTGGTATGCATCAGACCATATGGTAGTGGGTGAAATATCTCTTTGTGAGGAAGGGTTCCAATGGATAAATAAATGGGAACATAAGACATAGAAGGAAGATGTGCAGGCAATATAACATTTGAGATCATGCATAATACATAGAAGTCTATCGAGATCAGAACAGGAATACAAATGGGGAATGGGAAATAGAAAAATTGGTGTAAAACAGACATTGCCTTAACAAGCCACTGATGTATTTGACAAAAAACTTTGATCTGGATACAGGAGAACATAAGTATGGTGATAAAAACATGTGATACATTGAAGGCAAAAACACCTGACCTCCAACAACCACAGGCAAAAAGGAGCAGGAAATAAGTTTTGAGTGATAAATGGTACAGGGAACAGGTAGCCAAGGGTTTGAATGGGGTTGGGGTAAGGGCATAAAGAACAACATTAAGGTTCCAATCTGGGAGGTGCACAGGATGAGGAGGACAAAGGATCTTGAAAGAACACAACAAAAGGGAAATGGTTGGAGAGGAAAACACCCTACTGTAACGGGAAAAATGGAAGGTAATGGACAAGACTGCTTATGACCCAGCAATGGTAGATATGGATGAACCATTGTCAAACAGTCAGTTAAAAAAGTAGGAGACATGAGCGATATTTGGACCAAAAGGAAGGTAATCATGGTGCAGAGACCAATTCCTAAAAACATGCCATTTTCTTTGATATAATATGAGGGAAGAAGGATGTATGGAATGAGAAAGGATGGAAGCTATACATGCAGCTAGTCTAGACTACCTTTCAAGGGTCCAGGCAAAATCCACACGTGAAGCTGGAATGTGGTGATTGCAGGATGAAACACTGGCGACTGAGTTTGATGGAAGAGAGATTGGGAAAGAGGAACAGGCAACAGAAGTGCTGTCTGAAGATGGGTAAGGACTAGAAATCAAGTTTGTGCTGGCCAGAAAAGTGCTATCAGAAGGACACAACACAAAGTAGGCTGGATGATAAATAAAAACCTTAAGAAAGAGACAGATAGGAGAGTAGGTATACAAGTAAAGGTTGGTTCAATCTTGACTGAAGGCATCTATTGCCAAAGCCAAAGGATAAGGTACTGCAGCACCAAAAAAGGTGTTATTTGCTATTGAGATGGGTGGCAAATGCACCCAGGTATGGAGTACCCCACTGATCACATAACCACCAGAAAACTTGGTAATTGAGGGACCACTTCATGGAAAGGATCTTATGAAGGCAAAGTTAATAAATTTGCAACAAGAATCAATGCACCCAGAACACTACTAAGCATGCATGATATGATAGAGCCCAGAACAGGAGTTCTAACATTCGAAAACAAAGTGATGTGAATGGGTGCCCCTTTGTTAATTGATGTATGAGATAACAGTCAAAGTTTTGGAATGGACCATGGAATGTATGAATGGTAGGCATCAATCCAAAGCCTGATATATGACAAGAAGTTCTAAGATGTTGATGTGCATTGCTGTCTCGACTGAAGAACAGATTTACTGAGAATCCATACTCACTCTCCAATCCATAAGAGAAGCATCTGTAAACAGATGCAACTCAGGTCATGGAGGTGGAAGAGGTACATCCACTGTAGTGTTGTCTCTGTTGAGCCACCATGTAAAATCAACTTGCAGTGAGGGAGGAAGACAGATAATGGAGTCCAGGGGATCCCGAGCAAAATTCCATTGATTGTGTAACACCCACTGAGCATGACCCAGCAGTATAAGGACTTCCATGGAAGCCCATCTGCCTAAAAGAGAAAGAACCTCACATGCAGACAGTGTATGACAGGATTGGGTTTTGAGTACCATGTGGTCTATCAACTGTAGACAAAAAGAAGAAGGCTGGGCTCGACTGAGGAAGGAGTTGAAAAATACTCCCAGATAGATAAGGTATTGTGTCAGGAAAAAGGACTTTCCTAATTTAATTAACCATCCCACATGAGTTGCTTTTTCGAGAAGCAACTGAGTGTGTTGATGAGCAGCTTGTTGGGATAGAACTAATAACAGTCAGTCATCCATGCAAACACTGTGCATGAAGTAGTCAAACAAAGGCTCTGACCACCTGAAAGAAAACATAGGGTGCAGATGCCTGTGTACAAAACAAAGGTATCATCTGGATGATGGGACAGTAGGCATGTGCAGGTAAGCATCCAAGACATTTATATTTGTCATCCACAGACCAGGAATAAATGCCCACTGCAGTGTGTGGAATGACTCCATGGTGAAACGGGGAAGGTCAACGAATCAGTTGAGACGTGATAGGTTGATCACTGGATGCCAATCCCTCATTTTTTTTAACTACAAACAAGATGGAGTAAAACCCTGGAGAGGGAAGACTGACAAGTACTATAGCATTCTTCAGAAGGAGTGTTTCGACTGCATCGGAAAGACACTGGCATGATGTAGGATCTCAAAGAGGGGGGAAGGATACAGGGTATGTGGACAAAGAAGGAAGGCTGAGAAATTGAAAGGATAAACCTTCTGACAGTATTCAAATCACCTTTGGGTCTGATGTGAAATCGTGCCATAGGCGCAAGAATCTGACCAAGCATGCTCCAA